GTCACTTGGCCCTAAGATTTAATTAGAAGTGCATGCCTGTGACAGTCCTCTGTAAGACAGAATCCCATTGAAGTTTATGAGATATATAACCAAATTATTCCCTTTCTAATGAGACCTCGGGAAGTCACTCATTTGGCTGGAAACATTTTAGATCTGTTTCCTTCTGATCAGCGAGGGTCCCACCCCACAGCGGCTGACTATTCTGGTCACAAGGAATGCAGAAACAAATAGGCCACGTGACCTGGAGGAGAAGGGGAGACACTCTGCGGGCAACACTCAGCCATGGACAGTATACCAAAGTGAGGCTCACAGTTCCACACTCATGTTGGGCAGAGTTTCCAATGTGCTGGGGCTTCTCTTTGCTGTGGGCCTCTTTGCATCCACTGTACCTGATACAAACCATCCCCACCTTGTGAGGCTGATAAAATATGTACAGGAGAGCTCATCTGTACTTTAGAGAACAGGACACTGGGGCAGTAAGGGTTAAAGAATTGGCCAATATCACCAAAGGCTGCAGATTCCAAGCTCAAGAGCTCACTCTCTTAAGCTCAAAACACACAGTTCATGGCATGAAATGCTGTAGTGACCCAGTGTGTGGCTGAGTGCCAGACAGGCAGTGGTCACGCTCCTTTGGTGACCCCTGACCCACTCCTGGCCATGGAAGTAGTGAGGGTCTCCCTTGCATTACTTTCTGGGTCACTTACCACATAGTAGCCCCTTCGGAATGTACAGGAGGAGGGATCACCAGAGTCTCTCAGGCATGTAGTTTCCTGAACACTGAACTCCAAGTTCATGACCAAGGTGTCTTCATCCAGGACATTGACCTTCACAAAAGCAAATCATGGATTTGCAATAGACATGTTTTTGAGATTCATGGTGCTGGTATGATTCTTTCTGCCCAATGAGAAAATGTTGACAGAATCACCTACTCGCTGGAAAAGCTATGTTTTATCTTAGCATCCATGTGGTGGCATGCACTCACATTGAAGCCTGTAGAGAAAAGCCATGCAACATTGACAGCTGTGGAACCACAAGCTGAGTGTGGCAGGCACCCCTCAAATCTCAGTGTTCAGAAGGCCGAGGCAGCAAGTTCCAAGCTGAGGCCAACCTAGCCTGTATAGAGAGATCACGTCCCAAAACAATAGTTAATGGAAGGGAAGGAGGGAAGGAACGAGGGAGGGAGGGAGGGAGGATACAGAACCTATGCCTTCACACCAAGGCCAACATTGCTTCTAAAGATTTACATTGGCAATTCCTTCTCTGTGGAGTCCGTACTTATGAACTGACCTAGTCACCAAACATTATTTGTAACACCTAAATTAGTCACTTAGATTTTGCCATTGTTCCTGGAAACACGCAAACTGGCAAAGCTTTGAGTTACCCAACGTGCATGTCCTCAACTAACGGGAAGGAGGAGGTGAAGTGGTCTGTCTTCTTGTTCCAGCCTGTGCGCTGTGGATACAGTGCTTGTGTTCTGTTGGGAACCTTGTGATTGGCGTTTGGGTGCTTTCTTTGGGTCGTCTTGGTCCCCAGGCTAGTGCTAGAGTCCGTCTGGCATCAAGAGTAAGAGACTGTGATGTGCCTTATGTAGAGAACGCATGCATTCAGGAAGAGTTCTTTGGGTGGAAATCCTAGATTCCTGGGCATTGATATCATATTCTATGATAATGAATCTACAATGTATATTATTGTACCAATAAGCTAAAAAAAACCCCATAAAAATAAGGCTACATATTGAAAGTGTCAGTGAAAGTCTTGTGCCCCAAAGCTCTGGGGAACCCCACTCTTAACCTCTCCTAGGAGCCTAGTGTTTGCCAGTTCAGTCTAGAAAACAGCAAGAATGGATTGCATGGACTCGAAGTGACATTTTCTTAGTGGAGGCACCATACATGTCCACCGATTCCTATAATGAGTAAACGAGGCACAGGCCATACCCTGGTTGAGCACTTTTGACCTATGACTAAATCTACATCGTTTTCTAATTCTTTTCCAACTTCCTGAAGAACCTGCATGGTCTAAGAACAGGGGATGTTATGATGCTCCAAGCCCTTCCCTGTGCACTGGGCACCTGAGGCAGAACAGTAAAGATGTCAGCCAGCTGTGATTCCAGGGTGGGTAGCACCCCACAAATGTTTGCAAAAATTAAATAAATAAATAATAAGCAAGACCATTCTGGAAGTTTGTACCGAAGAATGACAGCAAGAAAGCGCGTGATAATGGGGGGAAAGGGAGGAAGTAGTTGTGTTATTAAAAAAAAGACCCAGAAGAACCTTCCAGAAGAGGGAAAATGTAAACAGAGACTCTAAGGATAGGACTTGTTGTCTGAGGGAAGAGCAGAGCCCAGCGTCCTGGGACAAAGCGCAGTGTAAAGAGGGGAGAATCATTTACTGCAATGTTGGAGAGATGGGGAATGTCAGACGAACTGTAGTCTTGTCAGCCATGGGAAGTCTCTACAGAGTACAGAGGCAACCCAGGCTTCTCCGTCCACCCACGGTAATTTCTGCTGCCAACATCCACTCGGGCATACCCTTACGATTCTCTCTCAAACACACTCTTTCATTCTTTCTGCACCCAGGCTAGAGGGCTGCGTTTCCAGGACCTTGTATTCGGCTTCTCTTTAAATTCCAAACTCTGTCTTTATACGAATTAGCTCTACTCTCATTGGACTGCAAGCGGCCGGAAGCAGCCTTCGGCACTTGGCTGCACACTGCCCCTTCCATCAGATGCCGTAGTTTCCTGATGGGGTTGGAAGGGGGTGCAGAGAAGAAAGGCCACCTGGCTAGTGAGGAGGCCTGGGTGAGTCTCCCTCACAGAGGAAGAACACAGTACTGAGGAGTAGTGTAAAGGCCATCTCTGCTCTGTAATTTTTCAGAAACTTCGGTGGCCCTGTGTGCACTTCCTGCGACATTGTGGAATGCAGAGCTCGAGGAACCATCACGGAGAATGCTGCTTGACCAATACACTCAAATGATGGGGGGGGGGGAGCAGGAACAGGCAGAAAAGCATGAGGTGGGGGAGCAATACTCGGAGACAGCAAGTATCTCACTAGTATCTGTTAGGATCACATAAGTCACCTTTAGGTACGTGGGCCTAGAGTCAGGCCAAGATGGCCACATGTCCGAATATTCTGGGTTAGCCTTGTTTCACTGGCTGACCTGTCCGTGGTGTCCCCGGTTAGTTCTCTCTGGATCTGTCCCTGTGTTCCTATTTAATGAATCGCCTTGTTCTATAGTGAGCAATAGCTAAACTATAAGTGAATTTAAACTGCTGATCTGCAAATTTGGCAAGAGGATGTGGGTTCTACAACACTCTAAAAGAATTGCATCAGGCGCCAATGGAACACGGCCTAGATGCCAGCAAAAGCGGGGTTGGAGAAAGAGGCAACTTCATTTGGTGTAGCTTTCTTTCAGGAGCAGTGTGGCCTTTGGCTGGCGGCTGCCTATACCCGCCTCCAAGTGCCTCCCCACAATAGTGTTCAGTGCCAGCCTGGACAGTCAGGTCCGGGGGCTGGTGCCTCATTATAGCTCAGCCCACATCTTCACAACCTCACCCGGATATAAAAGGCACCTGAAGCTGGTCAATGAATTTGCTTTGCATTCGGAAAAGAAAGCACAGAACCAGTGTCTGAAAAGGGAGGCCAAAGGGACTTGTCCTACATGAAGGCAGGCTGGGAAAGTGCAGTGTGCACTCTGTTGAGTAGCAGAGGAACAGCTAAGTGTAAGAAGCCATGGGTCTAGAGTAGGGTGGAGAAGAAAGAGAGCCGTAGAGACGATGGTGGCAGTATGGCCTCTCCGTGGTGGTAGTGGCTGCCTGGTCATGTGGCCACGTGGTTCCACTCTTGGCTCCATGAGCCTGTCTGCTCTATTTCTTCCTCATCTTTGGCATAAACATCAATTGCGTGGAGAGCATTTCTGTCCCTACCTTCCTCTGAGCCCCATTAAGCCAATAAGAAAACAGTGAAATCCTCAGGGGGCAGGAAGGAGAGATGCTCCTCTATGATACTGCTCCATTTCCCCCTCATTTTTGCTACACCAAGTCACGGCACCAAGTCGCAGCAAGCCCAAGATAATGTCACTTTGCTCAGTTCTCCGGGTGATCAGGAGACAGCACCATAAGGCTGACAAAGTGGGGTGTTTCTTGGGCTCCGAAGCCAGCGTTTCTTTCCTATAAACACTGGGAGCCCAATGCTGAGTGGGAAGAGAGGCTCCTCACTAGAGCAGCTCCTACTAATCCAACAGCATCCTAGGAGCCAGGGGGGCCTCAGAACTCTTCACCCCAAACCAGGACACGCACAGAGAGAAGCCAAGGTCAGAGACAAAACGCAGAAGGAAGAATCAGATGTCCCAAGAAGCTTGGAGAACCCCGGGGCAAAAACTGTAATTAAAATCTCTTTTCTGAAACAGTCAGCATGAAAAAGGAACGGCTGTGATCTTTGTAAACGGAAAAATAAAAATGATCTATTCAAGAAAATAAGCAAGGACATGGCAGAGATGTCAAAGGAGGTGGGGGGAGGGGTCCCCAATCACTCACTCTTTTCAGGGAGCTCCGGGTCTCCTGAAACAGGTAAGGACTCAGGGATTGAGAGTTCACCTTTGCCACTGAGGCCTTGAGGGCTTCCTGCAGGGAGGAAGGGTCGAAGTCGTACACCGGGAAACCTGGACGGCAAGAACAGAGTCCGCAGTGAGAGGCGATGGAGCCCGGAGAGGGCTCCGATCCCCTAGAGCGGGTGGCTAAGGGTGTCCTTTACCTAAGGCACACCGGTAGTGCATTCCCAGCACCAACGTAATGAGCGTCCGCAGCATTGCCCACTTCATCCTGAGGACTGTGACCCAGAGCCCGGGAGATGGCCTCTCTACAGCTTCAGGATGACAGTTCTTTCTGAGGGCGGCTGTCTTATCCTTGTCACCTGCGACCTGGCTGCCCTGGCTGGCTGGAGCAGGCCGGAACTTCAACAGCGATGATTGATTCCGGTGTCAATATTTACTGCTGACTTTTCCTATGGAAAAGGTCCAGGCTGAGGCCACTTTTGAAGTTTGGACCTTTCCATGGAACTTTAGCCCACAGCAGGAGACATCCAGAGAAGCTCGGGTCTCCATGCACGGTGACTATTTTCTCTCTTTGCATTTCATTCTTTGGGGGAGGGGCCAGAACTGTAGACCCAACAAAATGGTGAATTTAAAGCAGTTGTGTATTTATTCCTTACCTGGTCCTCAAATTCCTTCACCCTCATCTCTCGATGCCAGCTTCCTCCCTCCCTAGAGACAGTGCACACGCAGAGTGATTTTGCCTGCCTGCTTAGCTCTGCCTGCCACCTCCAGTGCGTGACAGGGACCATGATTCCAAAACCGCAATGGCCGTGTCTGTGACACAGAGCATAATGAAGCATGTGTTGAATGAGGGAGCGTATGAATATACCAGGTCTCACTGCATTGTCTTTCAGGTCCTTCATTTGAAGCTGGCGCTAACTTCTGCTGTATAACAAGTACCCAGAGCGTGCTGCTAAGAGAAAATGACCACTAAAATGTGTAATTCCATTAATTTTAACCTGGTTTGAACTCAATTCCATTAGACTCTTCCAGATTGAAGGAACATCACCATCTGGCTCCAAACACTCTGGTCTCGTTAAATGAACTGCAGTAATAAAAGCCATTGCAGATGAGCGGAGGGTATGAAGGAGGCGACAATAGCTTCGTGCTGCCAGCACGGGGCTATTGATTTTGCTTGACGCTTGCTGGGGTGAGGCGGGAGCGCCGGATTGCTCAGATTCTCTTGGCTATAATTAAGTGTGAGCACCAGGCATGCAGGGTGGGCTCTGAGGAGAGCTAAAAAGTGATGGTTTTTAAAATGCCCCTGCAGAATTCCATCATGTCTTGTAAACCCAGAAGATTAAATGTAAGCCATGCAGACACACACTCATGCTATGGTGATTTCTTGTTCTATCTCCAATGTGCAGAAATGTGTGCCACACTCATTCCCGCAATTTTCTGCTATTCCAACCTCAGATGCTTGGCCTAAGATATTCAGAATTAGGTGGCAGTAAGTGAAGCATCGGATCACTTTTTGCACAGTCCCCGGAAAATCATTTAAAGAGCATCACAGGCCATTTAACAGGAGGACCTGGAAACACACTGAGCAAGGACCAGTGGGCGGTGGCCGCATCATAAACAAAGATGCATTTTTCCCCAAGGTCACTTCCTTTTCCTCATCTCTGCTGTCAGATTATTTGCATGGGGGGGGGGCGAGTAGATCACTAAATTTAGAACAAATGTAAAAATGGAATCTTCAACTGATCCCCCAACCACGAACTTCACAGCTGCCTTCTAATTTCTTATGGCATCATGATTTCTAAACTGAGCTCCATGGCCAAGAGTCTGCTTGCTCGCCTCATCTCAGTATTTCTGTGTTCTGGAAATGTCAATGGTGTTGTTAGGATGATCGGCACGCTGCAGCAGCATAGCCCACAGCTTCAGAACCACCTAGGATCTTGCTGAAAATGTTTATCTTTCAGACCCATCCAGAAGCAGCCAGCAGAGACTCCAGGTACAGGACCAGCTGCTTTTATTTGACGGAAACCCCGCCATCCTGTAGAAACTCCCTCCCCCTGTTTAATTCAGATCCACACTCATGTCTGAGAAATGCTAATACAGAACAGAGATTCTCAGCCAGGGGACTTTGGCCGTGTGAGTCTTATGTCTTGAATATGACCCCCCTTCCGCCCCCCCACACACAGGTCCTTGTGTTACAGGTTACCTCTGTTGGTGGTGTTATTGCCTTCAGGAGGCGGGGCCTACACAAAGGAAGTACCTCACACGTGGGTCCCAAGGAGCACTTTCTCCCTCTGTCTCTTCAGCTCTCTCAACTTCCGGCTCCCTTGACAGGGGCAGCTTTGTGCCTCCACAACCCCCGACACAATGTTCTGAGGAACCATAGGTAATTCAGTTAAGAAAATTAAGAACTTGGGAAAACTGACTTCTGTCTGTTCACGCAGCAGCTCTACCCTTCTTACCTCCCTGTTAACCGTGTTCCGGGGGTCTAGTGTCCACAAATCTTAACCAACACTAGTTATTTTCTCTTCTCTGGATAATGGCCATCCTAACACATGTCAAGTGAAGCTTCACCCTGCCTTCAATTTGCATTTTCTTCATGATTGATGGTTGGGCATCTTTTCACATTCCCATCAATCATCTACACGTCTCCTGGCTGGCTTCATTTGGGCCCTTTAGGTCAGCTAGCCAGGGGCTCATCAGTTTGCTGTTTTCCAGGGGGGGCTCACCGCGAGCCTAGTTCTCTTCTACTGTTTTCTAGTCTCTATTTTTGTTTAGGTCTGCCCTGGTCTTTATCGCTTCCTTCCTTCAGCTGTTTGGGACATGATTTTTTTCTAGTTCCTTGAACTCTCAATTTGAGCATTTAGAGAGGGGTTGGTTCCATCAGCACCCCAAGGTGAGCAAACCCCGAATAGTCCCCCAATCAGCCACCCAGGCAGCCACAGCGTGGACTGGACTTTGCCTCTGTGAATCCCCAGGTGGAAGCTGGCCGGTGAGTCTCTCCTCCCATCTGTTTGTTCAATGCTGCCTAGGGGACAGGACACCCTACAACTTCCCTTCTGAGGGGCCAGACCCCGTCACTAGCTCTGGACATTCTTGTGCAAGGAACTCACTGGGTTGGAAACTTAAAAGAAGCTGTGTCTGCAGAGACAGGGTGACTGGTGAGGAGTTCCGTACCGTGGAGAGATGAAAATATTATAGGTCTCAAAGCTAATGACTTTATCTTGAGCTAGCTTTAGGCCCTGGAATGGCCATTTCTTGCCCACTGCTGCGTCTGAATTAACATCTTGTGACTAATAAATAGAAACACTCTGAAATCTCTTGGCTTAGCTTCCCTAGCCCTGAAGCTAAAAATGTCGTCAGATAGCGTCTTAGACCTATGGAAAAGTTCCCCCATCTTGCTGTAACCACCTCTCTGATGGACCCACTAACGCATTTTAAACTTGCCTTGACTTTCTTTGTTCTGTAAAAACTATAAAAGCTTCATTAAACTGCTTTGGTATTGAAACGTGGAATTTAGGGTCACCTAAGTCTGTGTTCCTGGGCCATGTTACTCAATGGCTCCAGAATAAACTATTTCTTGTTCCTTTAAAGATGGAAGCCACAGGTTTTGTGTTGATACTGCCCTACGATGTTAAATTGGTGCCTACTTTGTGGGAAGAAGAATCTGAGACTTACTCTCCTGTTGTGTGGTTCCACTCTCGATCATCTTGTGCTCAGAGGTGAGCAAGGACAGACAGAGAAAGCTCCGGAGGACTTAGACACAAAGAAACTCTCCTGCCTTTAGCTCATTGGCTTGAGCTGGCCGCATGGCTCTGACTAACTCCGGTTTTGAAGTCATCAGGAAAGCATGGCCCATCTTGTACTGCGACTTCGGTAGATGTGGTAGTTTGAATGGGACTGTCCCTCATAAGCTCCTCCATTTGAATGCTTGGTCATTACAGAGTGGCACTACTTGAGAGGGATTAGGAGTCGTGACCTTTTGGAGTAGGTGTGGCCTTGTTGGAGGAAGTGTGTCACTGGGGGTGGGGTGGCCTTGTGGTTTTGAAAGCCCAAGCCAGTCCCAATGTCTCTCTCTTCCTGCTGCCTGTAGATTCAGATGTAGAACTCTCAAGTACTTTTCTAGCACCCTATCGGCCTAGAACTGGGTGCAGCCATGCTCCCCACCATGTTGAAAATGGAATAAACCTCTGAAACTGTAAGCAAGACCCAGTTAAATGCTTTCTTTATAAGAGTTGCTGTGGCCATGGTGTCTCTTCACAGCCAGAGAACACTGACTAAGACAGAACCAAATGTGAGTCCCAGAGCACTAGTGCCATCCGTGGAAGGCCACGTGCTAGTCCGTGGACAGTGTGGTCAGGATCACAAACAGACCACACCTCTGTGGCCGTGGAGCACTTGAGAAAAACTGTAATGTAGTTTTCCTGGAAGAACAAAGAGTTGGAGAAATTCAGTTGTACAAGGTGAGGCTGGGGTTGGGACAGAAAAGAGCCAAGAGTCCACTCTCTGCATCCAGGCACCGAAGATCTGAAGATTGAAGAAGTAGCAAGAGAAGCCTATCATTTTGAAATATGAAGAGCAGGGGAAAAAATAAGCAAAAAAGTTGTTTTTCCCCCCCAAAGTCGTGAATGATGTCTTCAGCTCTCCGTTAACTTAACATGTGGTAGGCAAGGATTACTACTTTTTAATAAGCCCCATATTCACCAGATGGTGGGAATACATGTCTTTAATGCCAGCACTTGGGAGGCTGAGGAAGGTGAATCTCTGAATTAAAGGCTAGCCTGGTCTACAGAGCAAGTTTCAGGCAGCCAGGGCTACACAGAGTAACCCTGTGTTAAAAAACAACAAAAGAAAGAGAGAGAGAGAGAGAGAGAGAGAGAGAGA